TGTGTGCACTCGTGAAATGGCAACAAACTTCAGAATCCTATATTTTCTATAGAGGGCATTTTAAAGCCCCTTATAGGACATCAGTATAGTGTTACAGAGGAGGTCTAATGCTAGAATTATTGCTCTCATTCTGGCATGCACAGCGATATGCAACGTGTAAGGCAATCAACGTTTTCACGTGTAGGCGCCAGAGCGTGTGCTTTTACATTTGTGCGTGTGTATATATGGGGGTGGGGGGCCCTGAAAAATTGGAAGGGGGGGAGTTATATGCTTGGGTGTAACTTTGATTTACAAAAAAACAAACAATTTTTACTTAACTTTTTTTTTAATCACATAGGGGACAGAAAGCCCCCATATGTGATGATTTTTTTTGGTGACAGGTTCTCCTTTTTGAGACATCCAGGGTCTAAAAGACCCTGGATGTCTCCCCTGTGCTCCACTGAATGCAATGCAGTGCACATCGCACCGCATTAATTCTTTTCCGGCCTTAATGACCAGGAATGTGTCAAACGGGGACCTGGAAATGATGTTACATCACTTCCGGGTCAGAAGAAGGGGAGGGGAGCAGATGTGTCCGCTCTCCTCTCTCCCCTATACCATATCCCGCTGGCACACACTGAGCCAGTCCTGGGCCCATAGACGTTGAAAGAAATCAAAGTAGCTATGAGTAGACCAACTCACCCACCTGTTTGGATTATGGAGTATCTGAGACCTGTTTGGAAATCCCGAGATGACCCTCAAGTAGAAATAGTAAAAAAAAAAGAAAAAATGATGAAGAAAGAAAATAATAGAAAAGAAAGAAGAGATGCTGAAGCCAAGGAATGGCCAGCATCAATCCAAGTGGCAAAATAACAATATGCAACCAAATATCCCAGACGCAAGGTCAAGGAATGGAAGAGTCTCCACCAAAGCAAAGCAGTGAGGAAAGTTTTTCGATTAGGGAGAGCGCATAGACTCTTCTCGGCACCATGGGCTCTATATGAGACATATACATTAAAGGTTCCCAAAACCAGAAAACTAGTGTACCTGACATATAAACAATCCAACCAATAAACATTTAAAGGACAATAGGACTAAAAAGGTACAAAATATATAAAAACCAATGCAAAAACGTAAGTGGAGGCCAATACTCCATAATGGGACCACAAATAGAAAATCAAATATTAGCCAGCAGAGTCCTTAGGGGACCCGATGTGGGGTTTCAGGTTTCTTCCTGGGGGAAAAGGACCACAGAGGTGAAAATGGGGGAGGAGGTCCATCGGTTTTGGGTTGGTTCCGCAAGGAGGGGCTAAGGGAAATAAAGCCCAAATTCAGCAAGATTTTCTCCCCTTCGGGGAATGTAGAAAAGGTGTAGGATTTGCCATTATAAACAAATTGTAGATGAAATGGATAGTTCCATCTATAGCGGATATCCCTTTGGATTAGGGGTGAAAGCAATGGTTTCAACGCCCTCCTTTTCTGAATGATAGCTTGAGAAATATCGGCAAAGACTTGGATCTTGTCCCCATATACTTCCAAATCCGGATGTTCTCTGGGGTATCGCATCACCGCCTCCTTAATTCTGAAGAAGTGAGGTTTAACGATCACATCCCAAGGCGTCCCATATGGTTTAAAGGGGACCAGAGCTCTATGGATACAGTCTATTTACATGTAGATTTCATCAGTAGCCGGCACTGCTGATTGCATAAGGGAATGGGCGACGGAAGAGATGTCTTTAACCGTTTCCGGAAGACCTCTAATCCGAAAGTTGTACCGGCGGGCGCAGTTCTCAAGATCATCTATTTTATTATAAGCTTCATCTAGATGATCATGTAGGTTGGCATTCCTGTTATAATTTTGGACACTCTGTAAACTGTATCATCAACTTTAGATTCGAAGTTCTTCAGGCGATTTCCAATCTCCCCGAAATCCTGTTTCAGATCAGAGGCCAATTTTAGTGGTAGCTTTTTCCAATTCTCTCTGTAGTAAATCAGCAAAATGAGCAAGAAGAATGTAATCCCCTGAATAGTGCGGGGGCACAGATGGAAAAGCAGGAGAGTCCACTGGACAATCAGGAGCTGAATCATGGCCGCTGATTTGGCTAATAAATACAGTCAGGTCCATAAATATTGGAACATCGACACAATTCTAACATTTTTGGCTCTATACACCACCACAATGGATTTGAAATGAAACGAACAAGATGTGCTTTAACTGCAGACTGTCAGCTTTAATTTGAGGGTATTTACATCCAAATCAGGTGAACGGTATAGGAATTACAACAGTTTGCATATGTGCCTCCCACTTGTTAAGGGACCAAAAGTAATAGGACAGAATATTAATCATAAATCAAACTTTCACTTTTTAATACTTGGTTACAAATCCTTTGCAGTCAATTACAGCCTGAAGTCTGGAACGCATAGACATCACCAGACGCTGGGTTTCATCCCTGGTGATGCTCTGCCAAGCCTCTACTGCAACTGTCTTCAGTTCCTGCTTGTTCTTGGGGCATTTTCCCTTCAGTTTTGTCTTCAGCAAGTGAAATACATGCTCAATCGGATTCAGGTCAGGTGATTGACTTGGCCATTGCATAACATTCCACTTCATTCCCTTAAAAAACTCTTTGGTTGCTTTTGCAGTATGCTTTGGGTCATTGTCCATCTGCACTGTGAAGCGGCGTCCAATGAGTTCTGAAGCATTTGGCTGAATATGAGCAGATAATATGGCCCGAAACACTTCAGAATTCATCCTGCTGCTTTTGTCAGCAGTCACATCATCAATAAATACAAGAGAACCAGTTCCATTGGCAGCTATACATGCCCACGCCATGACACTACCACCACCATGCTTCACTGATGAGGTGGTATGCTTAGGATCATGAGCAGTTCCTTTCCTTCTCCATACTCTTCTCTTCCCATCACTCTGGTACAAGTTGATCTTGGTCTCATTTGTCCATAGGATGTTGTTCCAGAACTGTGAAGGCTTTTTTACAAGTCGTTTGGCAAACTCTAATCTGGCCTTCCTGTTTTTGAGGCTCACCAATGGTTTACATCTTGTGGTAAACCCTCTGTATTCACTCTGGTGAAGTCTTCTCTTGATTGTTGACTTTGACACACATACACCTACCTCCTGGAGAGTGTTCTTGATCTGGCCAACTGTTGTGAAGGGTGTTTTCTTCACCAGGGAAAGAATTCTTCGTTCATCCACCACAGTTGTTTTCCGTGGTCTTCCGGGTCTTTTTGTGTTGCTGAGCTCACCGATGCATTCCTTCTTTTTAAGAATGTTCCAAACAGTTGTTTTGGCCACGCCTAATGTTTTTTCTATCTCTCTGATGGGTTTGTTTTGTTTTTTCAGCCTAATGATGGCTTGCTTCACTGATAGTGACAGCTCTTTGGATCTCATCTTGAGAGTTGACAGCAACAGATTCCAAATGCAAATAGCACACTTGAAATGAACTCTGGACATTTTGTCTGCTCATTGTAATTGGGATAATGAGGGAATAACACACACCTGGCCATGGAACAGCTGAGAAGCCAATTGTCCCATTACTTTTGGTCCCTTAACAAGTGGGAGGCACATATGCAAACTGTTGTAATTCCTACACCGTTCACCTGATTTGGATGTAAATACCCTCAAATTAAAGCTGACAATCTGCAGTTAAAGCACATCTTGTTCGTTTCATTTCAAATACATTGTGGTGGTGTATAGAGCCAAAATTGTTAGAATTGTGTCGATGTCCCAATATTTATGGACCTGACTGTATATCAGCCATTTCCCTATCCAGCAGGCAAAAGCCCTGGGAATCATGGCCTGGTGACAGGGCCGCAGCCTGTGAAGGAGAGCTGGCAGAAGGAGCAGAGTGATCACTCACGTGAGCCAGGGAGCCGTCCCGGGACTGGAGGAGAAAGGTTGGGCCCTCTAAGGAAGTGGCAGTGTCTTTCTGCAGCCAAGGACATCCGGGAGCCAGTGCTGGTCGCCATCTTGCCGCCCCCCTCCCTTCTTCACCATGGCGGTGCAGGAGCTTCCTGCGGACTTTTTGGCAGGTCGGATTGGCATCGGGGAGATCCCCCACCTCCTCCACAGTAAGGCCAGGCAAGCGGTGGGGAGGAATGGGGTCGGGAGCCACTCTAGTTACCCCCAAAGGTACTGGGAATGTGTGGAGTGGTTATGGCTGCATCCACTCCGGCAGCCTGCGCACTCCCCAATTATTTATTTAGGCATCTGGGTAACAGAAAGGGGGGTTTGATATATTCTTTATAGAATACTCAAAAGGTCACATTGTTTTTGTATATTTTCTAATGAAAATCAATAAAATATTTGAACAGAAAGAAAAAGGTCATTTTACCAGAATGAAAAATTTAGAAAAGGCTGCAAGGACCAATACCATAAAATTATTTCCAGCAGGCTTAAAGTGGAGTTCCACTCAACCTATCAAAAAATAAAAGTCAGCAGCTACAAAAACTGTAGCTGCTGACTTTTATAAAACAGCCACTTACCTGTCCCTCGGTCCTGTGGTGTGTCCCCCACAGCTTGTTTCACTGGCCGTCCTGTATTCCAGGAGGCCGGCATCTTCAGTGTGGGCACCCAGCTGTGATAGCCTGCGGCTTCACAGCCGGGTACCCACTTCGTGGGTGGTCCTGTAGTCTTCTGGGACCTGTCACGTGTCCAAAAAGACTACAGGGAGGGAGGACACCTTCCGCTTCCGATCGCCTAGGTGATCGGACCGAAAGTGGGAGCGGGTACCTGTCAAATTCGGGTACCCGCTCCCCCCCCTGCTCCCCAAAGGTGCCAATCCTTAATGGGGAGTGGGGGAGCAGTCCTTAAAGCGGAACTTCCCCTTTTGGGTGGAGCTCCGCTTTAACCTAAACATATGTGCGACAATACATATTAAAAAAAATAAAAATTTATAAAAACTGGGGAAAAAAGTCAAAGATGAAACCTGTTTGGTTGAAACAGACAACAGCACACTTGTTTTGGGACTTTGCATGCACCCCCCTCTATATAACAGTCAAGGTTGTTACCTCTGCTTGCCGATAATCCTGAAGTTTGGCTAGTTCATCAGCAAAGCATTTCAACCCATGTTTAAGGTTTGGTGTTTCAGTGTCCGCATATGCGTGAACCTCTCTCACTAGGAGATCTGCCTTGTCCCGCAATCTGGCAGTTTTCCGCACATAACCAGCATAGATTTGGCACAGCTCACCAAAGTGCTTCTCCACATTGCTAACAGTTTCTTGAATTTGCCTTGTTTGATTGTCCCTAGGAGGAAATACACATATAGAGCAGATAAATAAATGTATATGTTTATGAAGATATACCAAGTGAGACATCTCTGGGGATCCTCTCAGAAAAGCAATGATGAAGTTTACCTTTACAATATAGCACAAGCATTTCATACAGATTTGGTTCTTACAGTAAAAATTGCTGTCCTAACTACAGTCAAATGCCCAACATGGAAGATCAGAGTTCATGCTGGCTCGTCTTTCTGCACAGCAGAGATCATATGAACAAATGCCTAGGATTTGGGTAATTGGATTCCCATTGTGGGGAACTCAGCAGTATTTTTGTACTTCTACAGCTCTTTATTTATCCATCAGAGGCAGACGGTGAACATAGGTTTAAGTTATTATTAAGTTAATATCTGACTATAGAAATTCTTTAAAAAAGACCACCCCCCCCAACCACTAAAGAAAAAAAAAAGGGGTTTGGTGGATGCAACTCTGCATGATGCTCTTAGAGTGGTTCTAAAGCCTAAACATTTTTACCTTAATGCATTCCTTGCATTAAGGTAAAAAAAATGTTTATGTTAAAGTACTCTTACTCCCTTCACGCCCACTAATACTTACCTGAGCCAGATCTCGATGCATCGCTGTGCAGGAGACAGCAATGGCTCTCTGCTCTTCTCCCTGCTCTCACAGGTTTTGCTGAGAACAGCGGGAGCCAATGGTTCCTGCTGCTGTCAGTCAAATCCTGTAACAAGGGAGTGGAGAAAGAGGACTGGCCTTGCCATCTGTGTCAATGGACAGAGGCAGCATTGCTTGGAATCGGGCATGCAGGTGTGCCACCATAGAAAGTGGCTTTCTATGGTGGCACACCAAGAAGAGGAGGAGCCAGGAGCACTGGCAAGGAACGTGAGAAGAGGAGGATCGGAGCCACTCTGTGCAATTCCATTGCACAGAGCAGGCAAGTATAAACCTTTTTGTTATTTAACCACTTGCCTACTGACCACTTTAACCCCCTTCCTGCCCAGGCCAATTTTCAGCACTGTTGCACTTTGAATGACAATTGCGCAGTCATGCAACACTGTACCCATATGAAATTTGTATCTTTTTCACACAGAGCTTTCTTTTGGTGGTATTTAATCACCACTGGGTTTTTTTTTTATTTTTTGCACTATAAACAAAAAAAAGAGCACAACATTTGAAAAAAAAAAATGTTTTTGCTTTGTTTCTATTATAACATTTTGCAAACAGGTAAGTTTTCTTCTTCACTGATGTGCGTTGAAGAGGCTGCACTGAGAGGCAGCACTGATAATCAGTGCAGATGTCCTCAGTAACACTTGCCGCTTATTGGTAGTACTTTCCTCATGCTGTGACAGCATGAGGAAAGTGCTGCCGATAACCGAGAACTGTATTTACTTTGTGATCAGCTGTGTCATTGGACACAGCTGACCATGTGGTAAAAGGCCACTGTGATTGGCCTTTTACCTTGTCATGTGATCAGCTGTGTCCATAGGACACAGCGATCAAAGACAGCGTCAGGCGCGTGCCAGTGGGGGTGTGTTCTGGGAGGATGTCATGACGCCCTCCAAGAACTGGACAACTGCACTGTAGTCATCATGTGGCTATAGCCCAATTGTCAAGTGGTTAAAATAAAATTAAATGTAAAAAACAACATTTAGGACTTTACAAACACTTTAAAACATCTTTAATCATTTGTTATATTTTCTTATTCTCATTTAGTTCAATCCCACGTTCTAAGACATTGCGGCACTAATAACAGGCTCGCAGCTTCCTCCTGGGAAGGCAAAATCACTAGTGCTTTTCAGGGGGATCTCATCTGTAAACTGCAAAATCTCATGGAAAAAGGCTTTTTTTGCTTTTATACGTCGCCATCGTTTCAGCAATATGAGTGCTGGGTAGTCTAATGCTGCTTACTTTTGCTGTAAAATATTATAAAACAATAACAAACAGCCCCAGATCTCGTACAGCGCATACACAAGATCTGACATTGGTGGGCCAGCAGTGACACTGCGGAAGAAGAAGCTAGCCACCAATGATGTTTACTATTCAAAAGGGTGACGCGAGACTAGGAGAGAGGAAGAGCATTAGCATCAGGTAACACAGAATCCAAGGGGGCAAGTAATTATACGAAGGGCATACAAGTCAAACCGGGACTTTTGAGTTTATGTTATAAAAGAACAAAATTTCAAGGAGCGGAAGCTACATTTATACACTTATCCTAGCGTTTAAATAATGCCTGGAAAGCTTTGGCATAGACACATTTGTCAGTACGCCTGAACCATCCTAGGAGCCTGCTTTACTTCATCATCAGTGCTGAAATTCATCTCTTGTGCAATTTCACGACAGGTTATGCGTTGATTATCCAGGATCAGGAATTCCACGCACTCAATGTTCACAGGAATGACTGCTGTGGGCTGGGAACCACATCGGCCGGGACCGTATGGCCACAGTTGAAACGTTTACACCATTCAAATGCCTTAGTGGGGTGCATCTCATCACAGCACAGTGCTTGAAGTCTTCTGTAGATATTAGTGGGTTTTACGCCTTTGTTCACAAGAAACTTCATCACCACACGCTGTTCCATGCACGCACTAACACTGTTGTCTACCATCTTGATTAATGATCTCTGGACTGGCCCGCGACATGTGCGCCGCCTATCAGTAACAGGACGCACTTGTCACTTACTACTGCGTATCGTACCGCCATTCTAGCATCCCTTTTTATACCTGTAAAATTAAAAAAAGTCCCAGTTTGACCTGAATATCCCTCGTAATTAGATAAGAGTGATGGTGGCTGTTATGCCCATAAAATGTTAAAATGGTTCTAAAGGCAGAAGGGTTTTCTTTTACCTTAATGCATTCTCTGCATTAAGGTTAAAAAAACCTTCTGCATGCAGCTCCCGTCCCCAACCCTTCCATACTCACCTGAGCCCAAGCTCGATCCAGTGACGTGCACAATGGCAGCATCTCCTTACATCTTCATTGGCTCAGAGACAGCAGTGGGAGCCATTGGCTCCTACTGCTGTCAATCACATACTCTGTGTGTCTATGGACACGGGGTGGCTCAGGAGCGAGCAGGCACGAGTGCTCCCATAGCATGTGGCTTGCTATGGGGGCATTTGGTGGAAGGGAAAGAGCCTGGAGCGCCAGTGGGGGACCCCAAAAGAGAAGGATTGAGGCTGCTCTGTGCAAAACCACTGCACAGAGCAGGTAAGGATAACATGTTTATTATTTAAAAAAAAAATAATAAAAAACTATCCTTTAACATCACTTTAAAGTGTTACTAAACCCAGGACCCTGCATCCACTATCTGGTCTCCAACAGTACACAGACCATGGAAGTGCAAATATTTTAGTAAATATAAACTGCTAAATACCTTTTCTCATCAGAAGTTAGAGCAGTCTTGTGGCTTCTATATGTGTCCAGCCCAGCACTAGCTAAAGCTTGTAGGAGGATTTTTCTTTTTCCGCTCTAGGAGGATGCAAAACCCCTGACCTGTCTGACCAGTGCTGATTGGCCCTGTGCTGATCACATGCACTCTCCCAAGAAACAAAAAAAAAAACCTCTCTAGCAATACACACCAAACTAAGCATGTGCAAATGCCTACCGTTCAGTCTGTCTTATCAGGAGATAAGAGGTGGTCGCTTGAAAAAGGGGAAGAACAGAGAAGACACGATTAAACGACCATTTTACACAGTGCAGAGGATTAACCCCTTAGGTTCCACAGTGAGTATAACAAGCATGCTTTACTGCATATACAGACTGATTTTACGGTTGTAGGTTTAGTAACACTTTAAGCTCTCATAAGAACAAGGCAAACATAAACAGTATTATATAAAAGAGGTACAAATACAGTTCACAGGTGTATTTGGAAATGCTAGAAATGTCTATCAGATCTGAAGTCCTGAGATAAAGCTGTGACTGTATAGACATTCCATGGCCATTACACTGTGCTTATGCTAAGTAAAGGACTGGTTAGTTTCTTATTAATCAGAGTAATGTATCTTCCACCCTGCAAGGTCCAGAGTTGAGTTCCGCAGTCTACAGTTCAGTTTGTTTGGTTGCCAAATACATAGATGGATTCAGTTTCTCCTCTGCATTAGTAATGATTTCTATCCACCAGTGCAGAAAAGCTGCTTATGAATAATTTGTATTTCTTAGACCCTTACGGGTGGCTCACGCCAGTCCTTTATAGTGTTCTTAACCTTGGTAGGTGGACTTCCCCACCATTTAATCACTGGGATTGGCTGTCACAATAATCACAGGCCACTCCCTGGCTCTCAATCATAAACAGTAACAGTGGGTCATAGTATTGGGGTGCCAAGTGAGCACACTTCCAGCGCAACATGACTGCACTGACTGCTGTGGCACCACAGAGTTAGAGCCCCCCAATGTACTGCCATATACACACATACAGCCAAGTGGTTAACCACTTCAAGTCCCGATACTTTCACCCCCTTCAAGTCCAGGCCAATGTTCAGCTTTCAGCACTATCACACTTTGAGTGACAATTACTCAGTCATGCAACACTGTACCCATATGAAATTTTTATCCTTTTTTTGAGACCGATAGCGCTTTCTTTTGGTGGTATTTGCTGACCACTGGGTTTTTTATTTTATGCTATATAAACGAAAGAATACCAAAAATTTTGAAAAAAACATTTTTGTGCTTAGTTTTTGTTATACAATTTTGCAAATAGATAATTTTCCTAAGGATGCACCGAAATTTCAGTGGCCAAAACATTTGGCTGAAAACACCCCCATCGCTGTTTGTCTGATATGAAAATAAGCACTGATACAGGTGCTGAAAATAACCCTGTCGCCACCCCTCAGTGTTTCTCGGGGCTGGGAATAGAGATAAGTGCAGGAAAGATGGCCCCCACTCATCTCTATGCCCTTGGAGGACCGGAACGACGGCACTATGTCACTTGCGGTTACGATGCCTTATAAACAAGGCCATATCTCCTTATAAAGAGGATCTGTCACTGCTTATTTCTGATAGGAATAAGGCTAGGTTCACATATGTGCACATATGTGCGAGTGGTGCGGCTGTGGATCTGCACAAAAATCTGTGCAGCCACACCACCCG